GGTTGTGGATCTTCCGGATTTTTTTTTTTTTGGTTGATTCATCTACATGTCTATAGGATATATATATACACATGTTGTTATGTCTATAAAGAATAGAGTGGGTAATAATACCAAACGTTACGAGATGTGTCCTTGGTGTTCCACGGTTTCGAACCGCAAATATGGCATGCCGAGTTTATGAGCCAAGTCCCATGGTAACCAATTACTCCTCCGAAGCCCTGTTTACAAAAAAAGATATGAGATAATCAGTATATTATCGATCAGTGACCAAAAAAAAAAAAAATAGTATATTAGATAAATAGTGGAATAGAAGATAGAGATCTTACCAAGCCACAAAGGTAAGGTAGACCACCCCAAAAATAGACGAGGGTCCAAAACGTTAAGATGTGGAGAGGAAGTGTGTTCTTTAGAAACCTATAGAACCATTGTTGTTTCAAGTCCATCACGTTGCTACGTCTTCCACACTGTTACATTAGTTCGCCGTCAGTTTATTACAAATCAATTTCATTAGAGTTGGATAACATATTTAAAATAGATTTACACATACGTCGGATATGTAGAAATATATGTGTTACCTTCTCTCTGATGTATTTGGTGTCGAATATCCACAAAACATGACTAAACCAAAACCCTTCCATAGGGCTATGTGGATCACGGTCCGAATCTGTGTACCGGTGATGGAACCTATGTATGCTTACCCAATCTATCGGATCACCCTGCCAAAAAAAAGTGATTTCAAAGATATATAGTTGAGGTTACATACATAGTTGTTGTACTGAGTTTCATTTTTTATTTTTGGTTAAGACAATATTTACCTGAAGCGCGAAAATGGCAAAATAAGCGAATGGATATTCAAGCCATTTAGATAGCTTAAAGCTTCGATGAGTCAAGTTCCTATGGTACGAGAATGTAATGCATATGTGAGTCACCACGGCGAGACAATAACCAAACAAGAGAGCTTCGGGTTTGTAGTTAAACGGAGCCAACAGACAGAACAAATGCACGAACATAACAGTTGAAGCTCTCATAACATCGAACCGTGCCCATTCTCTAAAAAAGTAAGCTCTTTTTTTCTTATGCACCACTTTGCTTTGGCCAGAACCATTGTCGTTGGTGGTGTCATCCATCGAAGACAAATGAGTTGTGTGTTTTGAGATAATGAGTAGTATAAATGTTCGAGTTATATGATTTAGCAAATGTTTAATTATATAGGGGATGATTTTTGGTGCATTTAAGTTCAACGTGGAGGATATCACGAATTGTGTCGCTAGATTTGAGTAATCATCACACTGCATAACACTTTTAAATTCCCTCGTA